ACCCACTGTCTGACATGACAGCTCTAGCAATTTCCTCACAGGATGCTATTGAATCTTGGAGAAGACACACAAGGAAATCTCAAGAAATGTTTGATGAGTTGCAAGAAAGGGCAGATGGGGTAGGATTTCACCAGTAGGACAGTATTTGAACCAGGTTCCCAAGCCTTCTGAAGCTGACCACCCCCTTACCATCAGTTGGGGGGAAAATCAAGTACTCTGTCAAATTTCTTTATGAAAATGGGAAACTGAATTGGCTAACAATCCAAGCACTCACATATGTACAATGTTCATATATATAAAAATCCAGGTAGGCTACACTTTCCCAGGAAGCTTTTTCACAAAAGCTGTGGGAGCTCTAGACCAGAGTTTGAAACTCACAGCTGCTTCAAAATATTCGAACATTTTTTCTCTTGTGTTAAATGAAGTGTTTATGCATTAAACACAATGTTTTCTTTCCCTACTAACAAAGTGAAAATTCTGTTGATCATTCCAATGCACATGCAACAACAACAGATGACAGAAGCTAGCAGTTTCACTTCACTGCTGGCTCTCCCAATATTTTTACGAAAGCTTTTCCCCTGCAGGTGTACAAAGAATAGCATGTAGCTTCTTTAATGTCTGGCACTCCCTTTAAGCTGCTAGGCAGTTCTGTCTGATGGGCTAGGGAGGGACTGGATTAACAGGCAATAATGATGGATGGAGGTATAATTGTAAAAATATTGCTTTTGAAGCGAAGTCAAAGACCTTGTACATATTGATGTAAATTGTCTATGATGTCAATGTAATGGTTTTTGATGTCTAGTTTTATAGAACAGCTGCTCTTTAACTGACATCTAATAATATATAAAGGCAAATTTAACATTTCAGTCAGTGTTAAACGAAGAGAGCGACTGAAATGCAACAGCAGCATGGATGCAGGTCTCATGGTTTCCAGGACAGCTATCAGTGAATGTAGTTTGTTCCAACATTGCGTGCCACTTCAGCCCAAGGAGAAATGACTCCTCAGATGACAAATCTCCTTCCCTCAAAGACCCTCACACCCACTCACATTTTTAAAGTCAGTCAAAAGTGATCCTCTTGCCTTATCACTTTTCATCCAAGGATCTCAAAGCACTTTAGCAGCATTCATCCTCACACAAACCTCTGGACAGAGAAGTATTGTTGTCCCTATTATACAGAGATGCTCAAGCTTGTGCCACTGAAGACCATGGCAATACTCCCACTGACTTCTCCAATTCAGGATCAAGGCCTAAGTGACTCACCCAAGGTCACACAGCAATACTGAGGACAGATCTAGAAACAAAACCAAGATATGCCATCACTCCTGGCTGTGCTGTGATCAAAAACCTTTCTCCCTTCTTTGTAACCCTTGATCCAAAAACAAGGGAGGCTCAGTATCTTCAGGGAGTGTGAATCTGGCTTTGAAATATGTGTTTACACTAAGAAATGACTAAAAGTAAGGATTGTTAAGGGCCATCTCTTTGCCCCACTGATTTTGAGACCAAACTTGCATGCCCCCCTTACCATACAGGACCCATGGCCATGAAAGCCCATTTACTGTTCTACAAGACAGCATAGCAATGATCAGTTGAATGCAACACATGGACACACCAGAGGCAAAGAACACCATTCCCAGTATGAATCCTGACACATGAAAAATGTTGCTAATTCTTTCCAATAAATCTTACAGCTGGAGATGGCTGCTGCAGATGCCTCTGTTACATGATGAATAATGAAGAATAATGGGAAAATAAAGTGGATGGAGAAAAGGATCGCACTGGATAGAGACATGATGTGTAAACATGATTTTGCTGCCTAAAGGGATGTTCCCACATGGGGATCTGCTAGCCAGTTTCTTGGGGGTCTGCAATTAAAAAACCCTAAGTAGGATCAGGCCCTTAATAAGCTCTTAATGATTTGAATGAGTTTCTAAATCACTGAAATCTGAACAGCACAAAAGGCAGCTTAGCATCCTGCTACACTTATACATTTATTGAAGACCCATATCAAAAACAAGGACAAGGGAATTGACTTACCAATTATCTTACTCTGTTTTTACTGAGTGTAACTCCAGTGAAATGAACACAGTAATGAATTAGGCTCAGTAAGTCTGAATAATATTCTCATATAAGCAAGAGATGTTCTACATCTTCTGCAGCTTTAGAGACCAGATGTAGCTTTTAATTCTGAAATGCTAAAACTTCTGCACATGCGTCACGTACTATAATCATTTTGCCACACACACCAGCTAAACAACATGATGCCTCATGTCCCCTTCTGCCCACAAACTGATAGCTAATCCAACTTTATTCTGCAATGCTCTAGATATAGCTAAATGCTAGACATTTCTCTCTTATTTCACTGTAATGTTCCTTCCTTTGCCATAGTCTATGGTACAAGTAAACAGTAACATTGCTTAGGTAAGGAAAAAAGGCTCAGAAAGTTATTTGTTGAGATAAAAGAAGCAAGTCTTACACAAAGAAGAAAAGAAAAGGAAAAAAAGGGAGTTGCTAGGATTAACTTGAGAATGATAGCCCTTGAATAGATATTCCTATTATGTCTACTGCATATTTCCCCCCCTCCCTTTCCTTTATCTCTCTTGGAACCATTCAGTACTGGCATAAGCCTCACAAGCTGTATCTCTCTCCTTTGATAAATTAAAAAAGGGGATGTGATAAAGCTCAGAAGTGATTGGAATTGTTCCCAGGATATGTTTATACTTGTCTCTGTGATAGATGAAATGTGATTTTTCTTTTTAAACAGGTAAATGCAATTAGTGGAGTCCAATGATAAACTTAAGTACATGTATACTGTACCCATGAAGTGTGAATTCTATGAATACATTTTATTATCACTCAGAAATGCACACATCAAACCTAACTGTGCTAATATCCCTTTAAGGCCCAATAAGCTGTTTCTCTGAATCATGGAATGCTTTCTTAATTCATCTTTCTGAAGCTATTTGCAGCAGTAAGCAGCTTTCCTGGCTGCTGGCCCACCAGGCTGTTCCCAAATCTCGGGGGATATTTTTCCCTTATTCACTGCCACATATTGCCACTTCAGACATCAAACTACCTGTGACTGCTTCTGTCCCAGAGGGAAACACAAAACAGTGCAACAGCAGGGGATGAATAAAGCACAGCATACATCTACACTAGCAAGCTAGTGTACTCCAGTTCTACCAGTAAACCTGACTACATTCATACCCAAGGCCCCTCTGCAACAGCAAAACCTTCTTATACCACCCTTTCTGAGTGCAGAAAGGGCTCTGCCAGCCTCTGCCAGCCAACAGAGGACACAACTAGATACTCCTGCCAGCATCTATGTTCCCTTCAGCAGCTGGCACCTCCCAGGGTGCACTCTGCAGTCTGGCAGGACAGCTGCCTGTAATGGAGCTCCATGAAGCTGCCAGAAGTGTGTAAATGAACACATGTTCTGGTGAGTTAGTGTTGGCAACAGTGCTGTGCTATCAGAACTTCCACCAGGCTAGGCAGGAAAGCATAAAAAAGACCATAGCAAAGAGCAGACTGTTCCCCTAGGAAGGCTGCAGGCCCCAGACAACCGATTGCGCCTGCAGGACACTCTATTCCACAGCTCAGCCCAGAACTACAGCTGGTTTACTGGTCTGGCTGCTTCAGTGGCCTGTCCATCATCCATTACTTCCATGGCATGCTACCATTGTAAGAGGTTCTGCAATCACTTAATAGAGACAGTGGCAGTATAAGATTTCTTTTGGCAGCAACTGCTAAATAGGAGCTTATTAGTTATGATATAATTGTGCAAACTCTCTACTGTTTCTCATAATATTGCAAAATACTGCCTCACAGGCTTGACCCCTAAGTCTTCTTTAAAACAAGCAGCAATAAATCTTGAAGGACCAAATCCCTTATTCCTGGTCTCCAGCTTTAATGAAGGTGGATACAATAGGTGTGGAGCTCCCACAACAACGCATAAGAAGTGATCCTGCTGTTCAGTCTGTGCACTGGGGTGTTGTTGGATGCAGTAGTAGTGCTGTTGTTATAATCAACAATTATTTTGACTCCCTTTCAGTGCAAGTTGTCAGTTAAAATATTTGGCTATCACTGAAAAATGACTGAGAGCTAGGCCTGTGTGAATACAGAAGTATTCAATTCGGATTCGGCTGGATCGGAGGACAGTGATTCAAATCACTGTCTCCATTCAATTCAGCAGACTCAAAATTGGAGATTCGGCGCTAATTTGAGGCAGAGGCAGAGGCAGGCACAGCCGGAAGAGCCACCAGAGAAGCCCCCATGGCTGCCCTGCCTGGCCCCATCCCCCACCTGTCTCCAGCTTCCCAGCACTATAAAAAAAAAAAAAAGAAAAAAAGCTCCACACTCACTGGCTCTCGAAGCAGAGATCAGGGCCTCTGAGGACTCGTGGCAGAGCCTCTCTGAGCAGCACAGGGAAGCGGGGGGCAACAGGGATCACCTTCCCCCTCCAGCTTGGCATCCCGCACAGCAGCTGTCACATCACACGGGTGCAGCACTGTCTGGGAGCTGGGGTGGCTCCAGCAGTCACCCAGTGTCTGGCACCACTCAGCCCCAGCAGCTGCCAGGGGGGGCAATCCCTGCTGCCCCACGCTGCACAGAGGGGCGTCAGAAGCCCTGATCCCTGCTGCTGCAGCCTCTGAGTGTTGGCTTTTTTTTCTTCTTTTTATAAGTGCTGGGAGGCTCGGGCCAGACGGGGCTGGGGCTGGGCAGGGCAGCCAGGGAGAGGCAGGCACAGCTGGAGGAGCCATGGAAGAACCTGCAGTCACCTGGCTGTGCCTTTCTCTCCCCAGCCGATCTGAATCTCTCCAAATCAATTCAGAAGTTTCAGATTTGATTTGGACCTTTTAATGGGTCTACCAATTCGATTCAGATTTGGAGATTCAGCTGCTGAATCGGGCCGAATCTCCTCCGAATTGAATTGGTGACCAAAGCTTCTCATAGCCCTACTGAGTGCCTATGTAACCTTTGAAATGACCTCTTCTCACTTACCCACACAGTATCCAACCAGGTTGAGGTACTGCTCCTCCTTGCAGCTAGTTCTGCACTTTCCATCAGCCAGGGCTATGTGGGGATGGCAGGCAATGCAGTCAAAGTCTGAGGGACCACTGCACTTCCTGCAGGATGGATGGCAGGCTGAAGGAGAAGACAACATTCACTATTAGGCAATTACTGAGCCTAAGCACAAAAACCCTCTCCAAATGTTAGAGGTCTGACTTTCTGTAGCCCGGTACGTGTGTAAAATGTACATTACCAGAAAGTTCTGGTTTAGAAGGATTTTGTGCATCCCTTTTGATTAAACAAGATGCAAACTAGTGGAAAATTCAGACCTTTTTGCCTATCCTTTTCATAAATCAAGGTCTAGAACCATATAAAATATAGAGATCTTTCTCTGCTCCTCTCAGCATGCGAGTGGGACATACACACACACATGCCCAGAGTGAGAGGAAGAGATGAAAGATACATAAAAATGACATGGAATAAAGTTTTACAGGCATGAGTTGGGGTGGCCACGTAACTCATAAGCAGAGAAGTCAAGAGTGATTTATGCAGATGTCTTCCCCCAAACTTGTGCCAATAAAACTGAAATTCCATCATGATTTATTGTGCATATGACACAAAAAATACTAGAAAAAGTCTTCTAAAATATTTTACTGGGACTGTTTTCTGTATCCATCTACCAATAAAGCCATATGCCTTATTACTATGTACAGACCCAAAGGAGATACAAATACTATACCTAAAGATGTACAAAAACCTCTACATTTTTTTCTCTGAATAAAATTATGCAACTTCAAAGTCTAGCATCTCAGGACTTCCCAAGGCTAGAAACAATTGCTAACTCTTTATAGGAAGCTTGGAATCTCCTAGCACATCTAGTTCTGAAATGTTACTTATCAGTATCTCAGCCTCTTAAAAATGACACTCATGATTATTTCATATTCAGTAAAAACAGAATGAAGCATGTGCACTAACACATTTATCTGGAAAATATACCTCCTGCTTACCAATGCCCAAAGTATCATTTATGATATATCTTTTCAAAGTTGTGAGGTGAGGTCATGTTTCTTATACTAAGGTTTTGCCATTAATTCATCTATATTAGCACAAAATCAATGGATTGTAATACAACACAGAGCCAACCCCCATTTCTTAGACAGCAGTATCAAACACTAAAATCATTTTGTCATCATTTGACCAATAAATATATGTATGGAGTCTTTCTTGCTTAGAACTGAATAAACAGAACCAGGGACCTCAGAAGAGGTTACTGTCTGCAAATGAGAATCCCACTGCAAAAAAAGAAACTGTTCATGAAAGAAAATAATACAGTTTGTGTTAAGTTTTTCTACCACCAAAAAAAACGATGGCTGAAATCTGACATAAACCACATAAACTTCATGTGACTTTTGAGGGACAGATCACATTTCAAACTTGTCCCCTCCAGTATTTGCAAAGCAGTTAGTAAGGAATGATTGCTCCAAAAGCCAGGATTCCAGTCTAAGGGGCACGTGGGAATGAATTGTGCCAGTCAGTTGCAGAATAAACAATTCTAATCATCTGCTTATATTAGATTAAGCTTGAATGAAAAGCTGGAATCTTATTGGCTGAAGAGGCTTAGAATTCATAATAATGCACACATGAGAAATGTAGTACCTCTTCCCTACTTGGATTATTATAGCTATTTCAGTGATGAGCATTCTCATACTTTTGCATAACTACCTTTTTTATAAACCCAGCACTGCAGTAAACTGTGGATTAAAATAAATCTAATTCACTTTGACAATATGTTTCTCTAGCCTTTGGGCTATGGTGCATTAATAAAATCAGACCTTCTGAACACAGAGTCTTACTTAAGCCTTCTGAAGCATAATAAAGTACTCTCCTCCCTCAGTGGTAGCTGAGGCCACCTTCTGAGTCTACTGCAATGAACCAGTCCAGTCAAGCAAAGCTGATTAGAATTTCTGATTTAACGTGTAAGCCTTTCTCCCCCACTAGTAAGGTATTCTATTTGCTGAAACTGGACCATACTCTTCTTTACTAATAACGCTAAATAACCTCATGTAATCCAGCAACTTTTCTAACAGTGTTTATAATGGAGCTACAAAAAGTTTGAGTAAGAAGTTGTAGCAGTAGGTGCTGTGCTGTGCACTTACCATAGCAATGGCCTTCTTGACTGTACAGTCCTTCTGGGCATGCAGGGAGGCACATGCCATCATGAAGAACCTGGGGAGATGCACAGGCTGTGCAGTTCTGGGGAGCACTGCCTGTGCAGGCTGAACACGAGGCATGGCACTCTGCAGGAGAAAAAAAACAAAACAAAAAGAAAGGCAATAGGTTTCCCACTTGTGTTTGCTTCTGGACAGAGACAATTACACTTACCAGCTAGCTTGCCTTTTCCTCTTAGGCAACAAGTAGGTGTATACTTTGCAGAAATCTCTGCCAGCAAAAGGCAGCGGTATAGGAAAATGTACGAAGGTGGTATTAACGCATGCCTCAAAGGCAAAGAGCAACCAGGGGTAACTGCATTTCATCAACCTTTCCCCCATTTCTCTCTGTGTAGAGGAACCATGCATACTTGAAATGGGAAGCCTAGATGCATACTGTAGTGTTTTGCCAAACCTTCCTCCCTGGAATATCTTGGGGCTTCTGCCAAGCCACAGGTGGGAAGGAGTGAAACCACAGCTCATGGTTTGCTATCACTCTATGACCTAGCATGGCTCTAGGAAGGAATTTCTTTCCTATGGTTCCATTCAAAGGCAATGGCCCCAGCACCACGGCAGTAGCCACAACTCCACAGAGGGCTGGTCACTTCATTTCTCAGCTAATAAGGTACACTGTCCCTATCAACAGGGCCATCCAGCTTGATACAGGGTAAGAGCTGAGATGAAAAACAGAATAAATTCCTGCAAAGTGCCTAATTAATGACACTTGTTTCCCAGATTATTACAAAGCTGTATCACAGCAGCCTTGGCTGAGATGAGCCCTGGCTGAGATAAGGGGCCCCATCATAGTAGGCAGTATATAACATATAGTAAGTACAGTCATGAAGGGCACCTTTACATGTGCTCTGGGGGTGGGGTTTGACAGGCTTTAGTTAAAGTGTCCCCGCTGCCATTTTGAAGCACGGGGACACTGAATACATAAGACACCGAGGCTGCTGGAGTGTGCTAATTAGCAAGCTCCAGCAGACTGACTTCATAGACATTAGGGCTGGAAGGGACCTTGCAAGATCATCAAGTCCAGCCCCCTGCCCAAAGGGCAGGAAGTCAGCTGGGGTCAAATGATCCCAACAAGATAGGCATCCAAGTATTTTTGAAAGTATCCAGAGTAGGTGCTTGCATCACCTCTGGAGGGAGTCTATTCCAGGCCCTGAGGAATCGGACAGTAAAGAAGTTTTTCCTTATGTCCAGTCTAAAATGGTCTCCCAGGAGTTTGTGACCATTAGACTTTGTCTTCTCTTGGGATGCCCTCGCAAATAGGCTCTCCCAGTTCCTGATGCACACCCCTTATGTACTTATAGGCTGCCACCAAGTCACCCCTGAGCCTGCGCTTTTCCGGGCTGAACAGTCCCATGGCTCTCAGCCTCTCCTCATAAGGCCTGCTCTCTTGTCCTCTGATCAGGCACGTGGCTCTCCTCTGGACTCTTTCATGCTTCTACACATCCTTTCTGAATTTTGGAGCCCAGAATTGGATACAATTGGATTAAGCAAGTCTGCTCCAATGCACTGCGTCAAAGATGTCTACAAGCACCCAAAGAGCCTAGAGTGTATCTAAAACAGATGGACCAAATATCAGAGGGGAAACAAGCACTGAGAGGGGAAGCAATTTGCCCATGGTCACTCAACAGGTCTAGGAACAGAGCTCAGGAGCCCTCCCTGTTTGTGCAGTTCTATCTTCCACTTGGCCACAATGCTAGGCCAATGCACAGCCAATGCTACTGAAATCTAGAATGGATCAAGTCCACTGGTCTCAAAAAAAATTGCAAGAGTGAAAAAAAAAGATCAGATGTCTACAGAAGACTAAGGCTGTTAAGGAAAACTTTTCACCCCCCGGGATGTTGAAATGGTCCATATTTACAGGCATTTATGTACAATGCCTATTGTACATTTTGCATTTGTTGGTTGGAGCATTTGCAAATGTTTGAAAACTATTTTTAGAGGGAAAGGTTGCCATTTTAACTCTTTACAGCTTTCCTCAAATGCAGCAGTTCCCAAACTTTTTAAGCCAATGGAGCATCTTCAACCCCCAACTTTTGCCTGGAGCCATTATGCGCTTTATGAATCAAACATTGACTAAAAACCCTATTCAAGATACAGAATGTCTTTATGATCCACAGGTCTCTAACCATGGCCCACGGCCCACCATTTGGTAACCCCAGCTCTCATGGTGTTTCTGCATATCAATGCTAACAACCTACAGGAATGCATTAGCATTCTTGCCCAACCCAGTTTAGCAGTGTTACTCATCTCTGCTCAGTCATATTTGTGCTGGTTCTTTATAGGTAGAGTGACCATACACTCTGATTTAGCTGGAACACTCCCACATTTCAAAGGCCAGTCCCTGGAGGGCTGATGAAAATAAAAATAAGCATCCCAGAAATGTAGGGACACAGGGTGCAGTCTGATGGGGAGGCAGAATGATATGGAGCAGCATGGTGTGCCAGACAGGCACCTCTGCTGCCAGTGCACCACACTACTTCACCCCTGCCTCTGCCTGCAGCAGCACCACTAACCTGGGAGAGAGGAGGGTGGCAAGGAGTGTCTGGAATTTCCCATTCTCCCATATGGTCACCCTATTTATGGCTTGTGAATCTGAACGCAGTAGTTTAGCTCCCTCTTTCATTTTCCATGGAGTTGCTTTTACTTAGGCAAAGGCACAACTGTTGTATAAGGCCTTGTCTACACTGCCCCCATGCCACACCCAGAGCACCACCCTGAGGCAAGCTGCACTAACTTATCCCCACTCTACATGTACCATCTCTCCACAATGAGGCAATGCATCTGCCTCTGGGTAGTCCCAAGGGTGTGCCCAGAAGCGCTCTTAGGCTCTCTGTTCCATAAACATTCGGGGCACACATACAGTAAGCAACTTTCAATCCTCTGGATCATGGTGTACGTGTAAGAGGTCTAGTGACCAAGACCTTTGACGTGTGTGCCTAGACAAGAATATAGAGGAATGGAGGCTGCCCAAGATCTACCATCCCCACGTTAGACCACTGAGACAAAATCCAAAGGCTAGATCAATCCAGACATTCAGTATCTCAATGGTTGTAGCTTCTGCTGGAGAGCAATAGATAAGACCTGCTGCTGACTGCCTAATGCCTTAGCAAGGGTACATTTCTGTCAGGGTGATGTCCCTTATCCTTTCTTCAACTAAGTAGTACCCACAAGGCAATGGGGGCTAGAGTTTTGAGGTGCTCTATACTTGTCTTACTCTGGATGTTGCAAAACTGTGGTATTTTATAGGAGCTACCTGACCACGAGCAGCCCCACCACATTGTCACTAGGCTCTCCAGTCGGATGCAGTTTATGGTCATACCCAGGACCATAACAGGGGCACACATATAGTTCTCACCCAAAACTGGTTACACTGCCTCATTTTGTGCTTTGGCATATGCAAAGCAGGAGTGTTTGGGTGGAACATGCCTCACAGTAGTACCAGGTCAGTGTGGACACGACCCAAGAGTTGCAGAATCATCCAGTATCTGCTGTCAGATAGACTCTGACAGCAAATGGACTCTGGGATAGAGTCTCAGCTGATGTTAATTGCTATGCTGCCATTAACTTAAACCAGGGGTGTCAAAGAAGGTCCACAAAGCTCTATCATCTGGCCTGCAGCGCTCTCTGGAGGTCATGGATCAGTCCCACATGCAGCATATGCTGGCCCTGGCCCCACATGGGGCTGGGTTGGTATATGGTGCACACAGCACACAGAGCTGGACCTGGCATACTGTCACAGGGCACTTAAGTGCCCTGTGCCTAAAATGGAAGCAACCCATGGGAGACCCCTAGTGGTGAGAAGGGGGAGGCTCAGCTGCCAGTCACCAGGGCAGCACAGGTGTGGGTTGCCGAGACAACCAGTCTGGTCAGCTGACCAGAAGGGGTCAGGGCCTGGCCTATATAAACAAGCCTGGCTGAGGCCAGAGGTCAGTTCCCCTCTGGCAGTTGAGGAAGATGGAGCAAGCAAAGCAGAGAAGCCTGATGGTCTGAGCGGTTTCTGCATGAGGATACTGGGTGGAGGAAACCCTAGTAGGGATATGAATGAAGGTTAGCCAGTTTGGTTTGGAATTTATGTTGTAGCCCAGGAGTGGGAGTTTTCTGTTTTGTTGTTGTATAAGACCGGAGGACCAGGTGAGGCTGTAGGGGTTGGAGGAGGCCTCATAGGAGCTCCCCAGTAGTGTGGCGGTTCCTGGCGCCAGAGAGGGCACCGCGTTTTGGGGTGTATCAACCCCGGCCCCAGTGTGGGCAGTATCAGGAGGGTAAAGCCCCAGTGTGGGCACAGGCAAGAAGCCCCAGTGGGGCGCAAGACCCGGAAAGGGGGTCTGGAGGCCAGGCACGGCTACAGCCACCTAAGTCTCGATTGCAAGGCAAGGCCCCAGTGCAGGCAGGAATCGCGAGGCAAGGCCCCAGTGCGGGCGGGAATCACAAGGCAAGGCCCCAGTGCAGGCGTGAGCACGGAGACAGGCCCCAGTGCAGGCTGCAAGAGCTCAGACAGGGAAGAGGCCCCAGTGCAGGCGAGAGCATGGGAGACAGGCCCCAGTGCGGGCGAGAGCCGCGAGGGAAGCTAGCGGGTGCCCAAGAGGGTGCAGGCAGATAGGGAGACGAGCCGGAGAGCATCCGTGAGGGCATGGGTAACGGAGATGAGGCAGAGGACCCGTGAGGGCAAGGGTGATTGTAGGACCCACGCGTGGCCCCTGAAGCTTTAGATGCAGTGTTACTGAAGGTGGGGCACAGACTGGGACATCGCAGAGCACTGTGCCAAGGAGGGTAAGAAGGCAGCCTCCCTTTAACAATATTTACCAAAGACGTGGCAGGCGAGATAAAGAGGGTGCATTTGGAACCAATTTGGCACGGTAGGGGGGCGCTAGGGGAGTTCACGGCACCCCCTAGGTCCCGTCCTGCCACACATACATACTGCACACAGTATGCAAAAATGGTTCAGGGCATGCACTGCATGTAGCACCCATTCTGGAAAGGCCCTGCATACAGGGGCCAGTCAGGATCAGGGCCACAGACCAGCTCCACAGCCCAGAGCCAGCATGCCCCTCCCAGTCCAGTGTGGGCACCATATACACCACATACTCTTAACAGGCTCCATGCACTGCAGAGTTGGGGGTGGTGCATGCTGTATGTGGCACACAGGGCCAATCTGGGGAGTGAGCTGCTTTCAGCACCTGCAAAGGACTGTCTTTGCATGCTGGCTCTGCCATATGAGGCCAATCTGTGGGCCTGATGTGGCCTGTGGACTGTCCCCATGCCACTCATCTGGCCTAATACTGGATGAGTTTGATACCTCTGATAAAGTTGTGAAAAGTTGTACAAGTTGAGTATCTGCCCTGATATAATTATATTAATCCAAAAAGATACAAGCCATAGTTATTTTTCTCCATGCACTTTACTGTAGTCTCACTGAGAACAATGATTGCTGTTTTACTTGGCAAACATAAAAGAACACATTCTTGTAACAGGTATTTTCAGAAGCAGTTGAACTATGTGTTTAAGGCTGGCACAGAAAATACTTAAGACAGAGGCACATCGTCTTCACTTGCTCTGATTTCTTAAATCTACATAGACATAAATTCCTTTGGATTGGAACTTGTTCAGCTGAGCATAGCACGGAGACATACATTGCACTGATGCCTTTAAGAGCCAAGGAAGAGCATTATACCTGTTACAGCCTGCATGCCTCATTGTTAGCACAAAACCGTTCTGCAAAACAGTGTGTTTCCTCTTTTATGAACTTCTCTCAGTCAAGAACAGAATTTACACAGGCACCTCCAAAATTATCCAAAACTAATATGCTAAATGCAATATTTATTAGATTCGTATGAAATGTTAGTCATTTCTAAAGTGAAAAAAAGAAAGAAGCTTAGTAGAATCCTTTTTGTTGCAGTATATCTGGCTGATGAGAATGATCACTGTGTGCAGGGATTCCTGAGACTTTTTCTTCAGATGTACCATTTGCAAAAGTATCATCTCTATTCAGACTTGGGGTGGACTGAATTGGTTCAAGACCCCTACGCTCACTTATGAACCTGCCCAATCGGCTCTCTCTGTGAAAGACTTGTCATTCCTATGGACAGACCAGCTGTGCAAAACTTCAAGCAGCCATTGGATCTACGGACTGGTTGCACGACCCATAGTTGCAGCCTACAAGAGTCTTTTCTCAGCATGGCTGGCAAGGCCACATGTATTCCAACTGTACCAGATCAGTCTCTCTGGCTGACTATCCTACAATAACACACTTCCTGTTTGGAGTGGAAAGATGCTTCAGGAGACTGAAAAGTATTAGTATTACCATGGCTGAAAGGTGTGCATCTGAAATTGCTAAGTCATTGCTGTAATAAAGCCACAAACTCTCCCAGAGACAAGCTGGACAGCCATCCATCATCTGTCTCCTGTTCCAATTACACCCCAGGGTGAAATTCCCACCATTGACTTCAATAAAGCAGAATCCACCCCTTAGTGCAGATCTGCACAATGGGCCATAAAAACTAGATTTTTTGGAGCCTTACACAATTTTTTTAATTATATGGGTTCTCAAAAACACTGGCACTCCCCTTTTGAGAGAATGTTCAGGATCATCCTTAGATGTTTGCACTTAGGTTGTAAAACATTACATACTTCAGGCCATTTTTCTTTTGTGCCACCAGAGAGATGTGGTAGTTTGTAGCATGAAAAAACCATGCACATTCCAGCTGTGCATGGTATCAGCCATCCCAAGTATTTAAAAGCTGACACAGGCTTTTACATAAGTGCTTCAGTATCGGCTGGGTGACTCATTTACTCACGTCTGCACACTCCAGCAACGTCAAGGTAGAAATGAGTGTTGCACTGAGGGAGGCAGACACCGTGCAGAGCTCCCCCAGGGTGCTGTTCCAGCTGCAGTGCCTCTTCTGGCTCCCTGCACCGTGTGCAGTGGAAGCTCTCTGGGCCAATGCAAGCATGACAGGATGGGTGGCAACCTGCACATCAGCAGAAGAACATGAGACATAGATTAGAGCACCAGCCTTAAACTGACAGACACAGCATAGTCCCTGTGTAAACAAAAGGCTCCTTTCATAAAAATGAGAGATAGAAGCAAATGGGTTGTATATCATCTTTCTCATGGACTTGTCAGTGCTGAATTGTCCCCTTCAAGATATGCTTCAAAGCATTCAGCATAGGTAGGGTGTCTCCAAAACCCTCAGTGTTGCACAAATCCTGCTCCCACTGAAGTCAATGAGAGTTTTACCACCAATCTTACAGGGAGCAAAGTTAGACAAATGTCTAACCTCTGTAAATTCCAGCCTGTACTTTTAAATGATTAACCAAGTGAGGCTCTTGCCCTTACCCTGGAAAGTTTTACTAGTGCCTAAGAGAATGCTTTGTTTTATTAAGCAAAATGGTGATTTACAGTTGTAAAAGTTTGACATCTGTTCACAATTAAAAAAAATAAATAAATACCTTCTTCAAAATTGCACAGAGAATACTGCTGTTCAGCCTTTCAGGCACTTCAACGTGTCTATTACTTACAGACCTGCATAAACAAACACTGCCTATTTGGGGGAAGCTGAGAAAAATGATATCTTTGAAAGGTTTATGGGAAGAGCAAAATGTGTCTTCTGAATTTATGCTTTCCCTTGCTTCAATATGCCTTTGGTCTGAGCAAATCCACCATATGAGTGAACATGAATGTAAAAGTCATGAACATTTTTATAGTCATCAGAGAAATTGTGGGAAGTCCTGTGAATGTAAGCTTATTCACACTGTGTAGAGAAAAAAAATCTCCAGCAAAACCAAATCCTGAAGGGGAAAAAAACCCTATAAAGTAGTTAAGAAAATCTGTGTTTTCTCATTCTGGAATAAATTACAAAGCAAAAAGCAGGAGTTTCACATCCCTCAGCTCATTTCAGCATAAGATAAGGGGCCCAAAGCTCAGCGGGTATAAGTCAGCATAGCTGTGTTGAAGCCAATGGAGCAAAGCCAACTTACACCAACCCAGGCTCTTTTTCAAAAGATCTAGTTTACCTTTGCAGACATTATGGTCACGATAAAAGCCCTCTCCACAGGAAGACAAACACTGGCCCTGGCGTAATGCCAGGGAAAAGGGACAGGAAGTACAGTGACTGGCCAGTGGTCCGGTGCAGGTGGAACATGACTCATGGCAAGCTGGAGGAGGAACAAAGAGTAAAGCACTGTAATACATCTGTAGGTAATATTCTGCTTGCAGTGGGTACTGCTGGTTTCTCTATCAGGCAGACAACAGTCACTCCTCAATTGGTGCTCATCCATAATATTCCACCAGATGTTAAAACAATGACAAATAAGAATTTGTAAAATAATAATAATAATAATTCTCTCTAATACAGTCCTTTTCATCCATAGATCTCAAAATGCTTTACAAAAGAGATCACTGAATATAATCCATCACTAGTGAACCAACTAACGTAAAAACTCGAATCTCCTGCCCTCTCAAACAATTCTGCACCCTTTACAATTCCCCTCCCATTTGCAAATACCCAGAGGAAAGATGATGTGCTCTGAACTGAGCCCTGAAGGGCATCAGAAAGGTCAGGAAGGAATGCCTCGTACCTCTGCATCTCCGGGTGCTGCCTGCGTAGTATCCGGCCGGGCACTCTGACATGCATTTCTCACTGTGAAGCACCCTATCTGAAGCGCATGTTAAACAACTCAGTCGGTCTGAATAACATGTTTCACAGGACTGGTCGCAAGCTGCCCAAAGGGAGAGTTGTTAATGTAATGAACTCATCAGGAAAAAAACAGCAAGGCCACTGATCTCCATGCACACTTAGAAACAAATATAATATAACCATGCCCAATTTCTTCCTCATTACAAGGATACTTCAATGTGTAACAGTTTATCAAACCTATGCATCATCAGTTTTCTTTTCACTGCCTGCCTAGCAACATTTGTGGAGATACGTGTATATATGAAGATAGGACAGATCCCAAATTGACCTAAATAACTTCTGGGATTCAGGGTGACATAGCAGGAGAAACATCAGCAGCTGATTTACCCCAGCTACCTCCCACTAGTGCTATCACAGTCAGAGGTGCACTGATGTTACTGCAACAAGGGAAGATTATCAGAAAACACTCAGTGAGAGGAAGTTTTTTGCAAATCCCAGAGGCCTCCCATTCTCAGTATAATTGTCCACTTGAAAAAATAGGGTCACATCCCACCACTCCCCTGCCTGGATAAATTGTAAAACATGGTTAACAATTTGTCATTTTCCACCAGAAAGATGCTTGAGCACTAATCCTCTACAGAGATGAATGAGGGTGGGGGAGTTCACAGCTTTCTTACAGCTAGCATTTCAGGTTTTCCTCAGCATAGTACTGGTCTGCAGTCAGTTCCCATTAAAAGGCTCTCTTCTCACACGTAAGTGCTGTTAAGGACATTTTCAGATGTGTAACTTCATTAATACAATGTAGAGTCATAATATATATGAGTTTGCACCACTGTGGCTCACTTTAGCATGTTGCCAAATTAAGGACCATTCTGCACTAAAGCCAAACACCACTTTAAAGAGTTATAACGCCAGGACCAAATCATGGGGGTGCCAGTCTTTTATGCAGACAACATGTTAAAATTTCTTTTTAAATATAAAGTTTTATTCCACTGACCCTCAGAGGGGAAAGGAGTGTGTATACATTCTTTCCCCTGCTATGAATGCAACAGCAGAGAAAAAAAACCTTTGCAGTTTTAGAACATTATACTGTTCGCTACTTGTCCATGAACAGGCAACAATTGTACAAATTTTTTCATAAATGGAAATTATCTGATAAATGTGAGCACCAGCCTATGGATTTCTCACATGTTGAAAAATGGGTGGGTAGAGAAATTGCAAGCATCCTATTAATATTATCCTGTATTTTTTTAATCAAAGTTTGAAGAAAAATTTTCAACAAAAAGTCAAAACTAAGAAAAAAAGTGACCAGTTCCTGTTGCAAACATTCGCTCTGCTATTCAGCCTTGTAGCTGTGCAACTGATCACCTGAGAGGTACAGCAGGAAATGCTGGCCCAGCTGAAGTCAAAGGCAAAGCTTCCATGGCACTAAAACTTCACCCAGCAGATTTTTCTGTTCTGCAGCTGAATGACTTCCCTTCAAAAATGGCTTCTATGTCCACCAAAAAACATTAATTTTAGATGCTCAGCTCAGGATAGCCAACATCTGATGCTCTGAGATGCTGAGAAACTACAGCTCCCAAATGTAAACTGTCGATGTTGGGAACCTGAGAAAACTAGAAGGTGCCTGAAGCAGACCACCCACAAACTCAAGCTTTCAAAAGCATCACCCATTACTTTTGAAAATGGGGGGAATCTAAACCAATTACAATTTCCATGTTTAAAAACAAGTGTAAGCTACCAGTGCAAGATTAACTTTCTGTGAACTTCATACAAACAAAATTTCACTATAAACATTCACCAGGTAAAGGAAGAACACGGTCACAGTGCAATTCCATTTAGAAAGGGCAGAAACATTAGCAATTAATTTTACTTGGCATCAGAGTTTAAGTCAGTCTTTAACTACCAGCAGTGGAGATAAGACCTATGCAAGGGCACATTATCCTACATGTGCCTACTGTAAAATTAACTGCACCTTCTTCTGAAGCAGCTACTGCTGCCTACTTTGGGAGA